AACAACTTAAATAAGCATTACTTTTGGGCCTTTTAGCGAGTTTCAGCACTGCCCTTGGTCAGGTGTGCCTGCTGAAGTATAACCAACTGGACCAAAGCGGAAGGAAAAAGTGTCATTCCCACCTGTGTGTATTCACCACCAATGACCCATTAAGAGCTGTATAGTCAGAAATATGGTAGAAACTCCTTTATCAGCAAGGCAGAAAAGTTTAAACCAACAAGCACAACAGCTACACACACACACCAATAAGCACAGGTGAATTAGGACCCAGCTGGCAAATAAAAACGGCAAAAAAGTCCTCCAGCGCGCAGGACTGAGAACCTCTGCTTCAGGGTGCTGAAGAACCCAGCTTTCCTCAACAGGTAAGCAGGAATAACCGGCTCACCACATCCACAAAACTGTATGTCTTGCCTTCTTAAAGGAGGTGAGCAGCTTGAGGCTGACGTAACCCATTCTGTTTCTTTGGACGTGTTTCAGGAGGAAGGCGTCCTCCGCCAGATTCCCATCCGACAGGTAGCTCTCCACCTGGGCGGCGATCTTCCTGCGCAGCTCCGGCCCCGGGGGACTCCAGGCGCCGCCTTCGCACCAGTCATCCTCGGCCGCGTCTAGCAGGTCGCTGGAGCTTCTTCGAGCAAAGGGAGAAACGGAACTACAGAGACTTACCTCGCAGGTCGGAGCGCTGCAAACAGAAACCAGCATCCTCATAAAGACCCGCACTGCGTGGAAACTCGGGGGCGGCCGCCTTACGCTTCGAGGTTGTCGTTGAAAGGGTCCTCCGCGGACAGGAGGGGCTGCGGAGAGATCTGTAGTCCACTTCTGAGCAACTCCGATAGCGATAGCGACCGCGACGGTGAGGAGGACATTGTGGTCTTTCAGGGAGAAGACGGAGAAACATGCATCTGGGGGAAAAAAACAGGTCTTTATAAAGCAAAGCAGCCCAAAAATATTAGGGGTACAAACACGAGTGGAAGGATATTTGTATGTTAATTTGAGCTTGTATTAGATGCCGATTTTCCTAGTCGAATACGGCGCAAGCTTTTTACACATTAAAGTTAATACACATTGTAAAAATACACAGTCCTACCGATGCAAAACGCTTAGAAGGTGTAGGAACGCAGAGCTAATCTAACACGAACTCGAAATGAGCCTTTTTGTCTTCGATAACGGTGAGAAACGAGACGCACGTCTCGCTCATCGTTCTCTGCGTTTGCACAGTCTCGCTTTTTGCGGACTGAAGTGTTTTAAAAGTTCTCCTGGCAAAAAACAAGGGAGTGGGTGCGATAATTGAATGACGACCAATTTAGCAAGGCTGGACACGAATCAGGTGTAGTCCAGTCAGTGTCTTTGCAATCCGCGTTTAGTGTTTATTTACAGCCTAAAACAGAACCTTCTACCGCGCTGAATGTATTTTAAATGTAGTTAGGATGAAGGACAGCTCTGTTAGCTGTAGGGTAGCAGACTCGTCAAATACCTGCTGTCTCTGCTTTACAAAACGCAACCGGTGCTTATCAAATGATTGTTCCTTTAAAACGAATAATACGTTACATACCTGCAACTTACCAATTAACCTTTCAAAAGGTAATCGATTTGTTCTCTGATCTGGACTTAAGTTGTTATTTATACAAAATTGATCTTAAACCGATATATGTATAGATAGACTTACGGTTTATTGACTTAATTGACAGAAATTGTGACCGGGTTGGTCATACTCTTAGCCCGCTGAACTTAGAGATCCAGTGGATATATTCATACAGGGAGAAACACATTCCTGCTTTAACTTCAGACCAGAGACCCCCTTCGTGTGCATTACTGCAGGCAGAGTCAGTGTTAAGACACGAGTGAGTAGGAATGCACTGAAGAAGCTTCACCCTACATGGTCCGTGGAAGGAAAAATCATTGCATTCCACAGCAATAATATAACTTAACAAGAACAACATGACAGCAATTGTCAGGTGTCAAAACATTTTTACTTGGAGAACATGCTGAGGAAGACATTGAGTTGCCATCGTTGGGGGCAGAAGAAGCAGTAGAAGAGAACAAGCTGAATGTTGGTTTCATTCCTCATTCTGTCAACTAAAAAGGTGTATCTCTAGCTATTATAGATAAGGTGAATGCTTTTCGAACCCTGGTTCTAGAAGAAACATCGGGAATATCACTCTGCAGCAAGTGGCTTTTTGTGCCACAGTACAGTACAATGTGTTTAACGACGTGTTAAGAGAAAAAGCAGAGCAGTTCTTGTATTTTGTGCCGTTCTGTGGGTGTGCAAGCTGCAGCTACAGTTCCTGTCTCCTGGGAGTAGTCCCGAGAGACTCTGGCCCTACTCAGCCTTGTGTGTAGCCGTGTGTCGCAGCAGGAAGAAGCCGCTCAATAGTAACCCTACGAATATGGACAGGAAGATAGCCAGGAATATCCCGGAGTCGATCTGCTCTTTTGGGAATGCGCCGTAGACGTACACACTGAAGGTGGTGGAGAGCTCACAGAAGCTGAAGGAGGGAAAGAGAAAAGCAACAGTGAATGGCCATAACCAGAGACACCCCCAAAGGGTTAAAACGCATCAAGGTAAGCATGCACCTATTGCTATTCCATTGCCCATCTATTTGACTTTTATCTTCAGAAAACTGGGTGAATGTCAGCTTTTTAAGTGTTACACTTCAACGGCAAAGAGCTAAAGAAGGTAGCGAAAAAGGGGTCGCGCAGCCCTTTAGCTCATTAGGTTTTCCAGTCACTAACTGATCCCAGGATCTCATCTAACCTAATTCTTTCTTTAAAGAAGTCAGGGTATTGACTTCAACAACAGCTCCCTGGCTGGGCAGCATGCTCCATACTTCAACAATCCTTTGTGCAGACAATTGTTAAGTGTTAAATGTACCTTGCAAAACCAACCATATAGAAGCTGAAGTTTTTTCAGCCTAGTGGGCAAAGCCTGTTGCTTATCCAAGAAAAGTGTAGGCTTATGACAAGTGCCGCTGTACCAAAATCATAGCCTTTTCAGTTTTGTGGTCTTTAATGCTGGATGTGCTAGTCTTGCTGCCATGTTAGTCACTGAATGATTTTTCCTTTAAGTCACTAAATCTAATGAAAAGTGCTGTATGTAGTGCTGATGTGTGATGCTGGTATTTAGTGAAGCATTTGCAACAGCCATTAATACCTGTATGCTGGATCCACCACAATGGCTTTGAAGATGTAGAAGCCGTTGTAGTTTGGAAATATGATCCTGTTCCC